TGCACTCATGTTCTTGCTCAGTAACTAACTGACGCAAGCAGACCTGCAGGCTTCCTATTGCCGAATGGCTGCAGGTGAAGATAAATGGAGGTATCTTAAGATAGCAATCTTCTGTTGCTATGGGAGCTGTAACATCACCAAATATATTTGTGGCAAAGCTGGCACTTGGATTCAGTTTATAGTTGGTGCTCAAAGTAACCTCTTATTACCCTGTCGGGGAGTTAAACGGGGCAAGGCGTGCAGCCTTTAGCAGAGGCCAGCGTGTGAAACCATGCCCAGCAGCTCGGGGACGAGACAGTGCTGACTTGTACTTCTCAGTGCTGACCTCCTCCTGCCTGGCCCAAATAATCTGATGTTGCGCAGCTACGCCCAAGTTTGTGAGGTGTACCTCCAAGCCCACTGGGGTGAGACAGAGCATAAAGCACAAAAGTAGAGCCTAACTATGTAAAAATTACCAGACTGGGTCAGATCAAAGGTCCGTTGTGGCCTTCCTCTTACCTCCAAGAGCAGCCAATGCTCAGTGGGGAAAATGGGGGAATGAGAGTGATATTTCTGCTGTGCGTTGTCCGGCAACGTGCTGCGGAGATCTGCCTTTGCCTTTAGTAAAGCTCCAGGGACTTTTCCTCCATAAATTTGTCGAATTGCTTTTTTGACCCCATTTATACTTTTGACCTCCACAGCATCATGTGCCAACGAGCCCATGGGTTTATACACACACAGATGATCGGAAAAAGTGCTCCTTTAAACCTCCTGCCTTTATCATTTCATTCGCTGCCCCCTGCTTCTTCCCTGCTTGTTCTCTGGCCATTCTGGCCCGTTTCAGCTCACATGTGGGAAAGCAGTTCTTCATTCCTCTGTTAAATGTGTGCACAGGTCTGATGATGAATCTTATCCCTCTGTGTTTGGAGACAAGTTTAGCATCGGCTTGCTTTTTTGGGAAAGAGATTGCTTCAGAGGCTGCTGAGAAAGGATTTGGGAAGGCCACGGGAAGTCCTGGACATTTATTGCAGCTTCCTGGGCCCAGCTGTAGCATCCCACCTGTAATGTGCTGGGCCTGGACGGACTGACCCGCACGAGAAGGCTAGTGAGCACGGCACTGCATTCATCCACTTTTTCAGTAATCATCTTTAATAATTGACTTTCATTTATTCATTTACCTATCTTCATTCATTTGCATCTACCAAAGTTCTGGCGCAGCTCTGGCGGGAGGTGCAAGGCTCCGATTTTTTCATTCTTCCGCTCAGTGTGAATTCATGCCCACACAAATTCCCACTCCGGCCCGGAGGGCTCTGACTTTTAGCCACGAGGTGGGGCGAGCAGCTAAATTCCTGATCTGAGCATGTGCGCAGCCAATGCAAAGCAGACCACCATGGAGTTGGGGTTTGCCAAGCTAAATCACTGGAAAAAAACTCCTCGGCTTCAGCCGTCTCCGCTCGACCCGTGGAAACGTGCAACCTTAAACTCCCAAGTTTCCAAAACAAATGCACATGGGGCAAGCGATTAATGCAAAAAGCAGCGGGGGCAGGCGGCTGTGCTGGTGGTGGGGTTGCCGGCCCGGGGCTCCCTGCTCTCCCGCGCGGAGCCCTCTGCTCAGCCTCAATGCCGTGGCTGGCCGACAGGGAGGAACTGGGGCGAAAAGCGGGCTGGGAGCGACTCAGTAGTGAAATAGTTATCTCGGCTGGCTTTCTCGGTAACTCTTGGAAAGTCCCCGAAATGACGTTTCTAACCTAACAATTAAAATGGGTTTAATTATAGAGAGGCTCAGAGCCCTGGGAACAAGCACCATCTACAGAATGAGTAAACAACTGCAGAAAATAATAGGCTGGTCTCTCCCCTGGTTACTCCTCACTTCTGGCCAAGGCAAGGGGAAAAAAAAAAAAAAGAAACTAGAAAGACAAGGAAATTCGAGGAACCCGATTGCTCTCCTTAAGTAAATAATAATAATATAAAAAAAAAAAAAAAAAGAAATCTGGCATAGTTGGAGCCTGTGGGCGTTTCCCTCGGTTGGTTATTTTGGCCGGTCTTGAAGACCGAAGGAGGGGAAAAAGATCAGCGGCCAGCTCAAAGTCCAGATCCCGCCGCCCTAAAGCAAACACAAGAGGAAGTGGATCATTTGTTTG